TGCCGCTGCAGATGGATTTTGTTACTTCCTTTCAGCGTAACTGCAATACAATCCACCAAATCACGTGATCATTCTAAATAAATCCATCAAGATTGAATTTAAATGAATCATGAACGTAAGGTGCTTTATCCCCTGGCCAATGCCAAGTCGAATTTATATGTCTTTTGCAGACCTGATGAGCATCTTGGACTGAGCCATGAATCCTGAATACTTTATTTACTTTCAAACTACAGATTCGACATGTGCACATTTCGACATTTGTCTAGCCTTCAGATTAGTTTTACTTCACATACAATCAATCAAATACTCAAATGGCAACTTGACTGCATTTGCCTAATCTCGTAGCATTTATCATTTAACATGTATTTTAACCGTAATCGTAACTGAATGCCAGCAGCCCCCATACCCTATCATGAAGGTGATTATGAGCCCTTGATAGATATATCATTCAAGAACAGTGATTAACCAAAACGCACTTTTATCCATCCAATACGATCAAGGAAGTCCTAAACTTAGTTGAGAACCGTGCATATTCTTGACTCAACTATTACTAGGGTCCACCACTACACAAACTTCCTATTATTCTAATTTGAATCAATTTTAATGGAAGTTATGAAGACTAAGATGGTGTGGCCTTTAGTATGGTCGCGGTATCCTTTCGCTGTGTAGAAGCTTCTTGACCTTGTTTTTACAACTTGGCTATATTGGCAAGAAGACCTAGAGGAACGCACCTTATCCGGAGCCCATAATATGCATGATAATTTCTAGAGTAGGACCGTGTACTTGGTACATTTCCAGACGTTTCGCCAACATCGCCAGTGAGCCTTTCCATTTTCAGCACCACACTAGAACTCGTCAAGGAGGCTAGTCATCAAGACATTGACCTTACTCCTCTCTTTGACAAGCTGTAGTTTGGTGCTAAGAATGGCAAGACTCACTGACGATGCCGGCGAAACGTCTGGGAATGTATCAAGTTCACGGTCCTACTCTGAACATTAAATTATCGTGTATACTATGGACTCCGGACAAGGTGCGCTCATCTAGGTTTTCCTGATAATGTGAAAAAGTTGTGGAAACGAGATCAAACGACTTATATTGAACCCATTTTATTGATTGTTTTTAAATAATATCACAATAGATGATACATTTGTGAAAATTATCTAATATTTTGGTTATGCTTAGACGGGACGGGTACCTCAAATTCTATGTTTCTGCATTACGTATCTTTAAAATATTATTTAGAGTATATTTTTATGATTGGAGTTTCAAGATATTAAAGTACTTTTACGGAGCATATGTCTATGAGTCTATGATTTTCAGGTTCCTAGTGGCCGAAGGAAATTATCTTGTTTGTCAGTTTCACTTTATCAAAAAGTGCTTCCTTGTTTTTCTGGTTCTAAAGTTTCAATTTTTCCTAGGCTTTGTTAGCAACCTTGATGTAATCTGTTTTAACTCTATTTCCAATAAAATTTCTCCTATTGTTTCTTTTATTTATACATATATAGTGAAATGTTTATTTTTAACAATTACCTTACAGAGAAGCCTCTAATATATTCTATACTTTCATTTCTTTATTGACAGCTTCTTCTCTTCCATCTGGCTAGTCGAGCCAAGTTTTACTTATTTAGAATTCCATACCTAATTACTGGCCAAGACGAAGATTCCCCTCGCCAGCGGCCCTCTGGCGACCATTTCGAGCGTGCTCGGTTCCCTCCGGGTCATTCAGCATCAGTCGCAGAAAGTGGTGGTGGCGGGCGTGACAAAGTTCCCCCGCCACACAGTCAACCATCTCTCTTTCAACCAGTAAACGCAGACCTCGGGCCTAACAACGAGGATTCTGGCCTCGTGGCTGACGCTTCATCTAATAATAAAGAAAACAGGCATGATGTCCAGCATTCGGATAATGATCAACGCTTTGGTGTCAACAATGGTTTTGACCGTCTGTCCACAGCTGGCCATCTGACACGAGATGAATTCAGCCTGCATAAGATGATTGTTGTGGCCACTTCGGCTGGAAAGGTTGCTATACTTATATAATCCGTCATGTCTATCTTATAACCATGTATTTATTAATTTTGTTGGATGCATCTTTTTATCGAGCTGATCTAAGATTATGTTCTGAATTTCTTTATAGAATAAAAAAAAGATACTTTTATCTTAAAATGCTACCCACTTAGTACAGCAATTTTTTAAATAGGCTCAAGGCGAATGTATTCGGCGTCTACATTTTTACATGTATATATGTATTTGTATATGGGTAGTGATTATTTGATATTGACCATTTCTCTGCTACCGAATATCAAATGTGTCTACTTATTTTTAATTTTTTGTTTAAAGTATTATGTACCAGGTCGAATGGTATACTTAGCATAAAATTATTTCAGTTATTTGAAGTTATGAAGATCAAGATGGTGTGGCCTTTTCTATGGTTGCAGTCTCCTTTGATTGTATAGAAGTTGTTTGACCTTATTTTCCCAACTTGGTCATATTGGCCGGAAGACGTAGAGGAACGCACCTAGTTCGGAGTCCATAATGATTTCCAGAGTTGGACCGTGGACGTGGTACATTCCCAGACGTTTCGCCTGCATCGTCATTGTACCTTGCCATTCTTAGCACCACATTGCATTCGTCAAAGAGGCAAGTGAGCCTGATCCTTTGACAAAACGTGATCTAAATAGTTGTGGTATCTCTCCTCTCCCAGGCTATTCTCCAATCCTATATTCTCGTATCAACCCTTCATTATTACAATTTCTTAATTGCTTATTTAAATGTGCCATGGTGTGCCCTTTTTTAGTGGAAGTCATAAGGAATTTCCAAACCTCACGCCGGCTTTCTCGCCCCCTCACTACGCACTCCTCTTCTCACAGGTCTTATCAAAGTCTCCCCCCTGCCCCGTAGTATCCCTCTCCTACCTTCCTGGTTCAAGTATTTCACTCGACCCATGCCACTCAATCTGTGCTACTCGAAGCGTTATTTCACACATTTTCTCAAGTCTTCGTTGGCACGCCTACTCCTGCCTCGCTGAGTAGGCCATAAAAATCATGATTCTCAAGCTGGATGGGGAAATAATCTGAGGCTAAAGAGCCTAAGTAGTTCTCATTATCGGGTCTTTGCTTCATGGACCACGTCTATGATCAAACACTGATCAAACTGTTAGCCAGCTAGTTCTAGCCGCCAATGCGTTTATCGATGTGGTTCAACTTGTTTTTATTATGTTCTATTTAGAACCACAACATTTGTGGGTTCGCCCACAAGATACTAGGGCATATGAAGTCATAGACTTGGCGCTATGGATAAAAACACGATGAAGCAAAGGTTTG